TTATTTTTTTTTTAAACAGTACAGTTTTTATTTTTTTACTTTTTAAATATATATTTTATTGATTTTCTTACAGAGAGGAAGGGAGAGAGAAAGAGAGCTAGAAACATCAATGAGAGAGAAACATCAACCAGCTGCCTCTTGCACACCCCCTACCGGGGATGTGCCCGCAACCAATGTACATGCCCTTGGCTGGAATCGAACCTGGGACCTTTCAGTCCGCAGACCAACGCTCTACCGCTGAGCCAAAGAGGTTTTGGCACTTTTTATGAGGTTTAAAAACATGTAAAGCAATACATATACTATACTGGCATGCATAGTACATACAGTTGACTTTCGAAAAACATGGGTTTGAACTACATGGTTCCATTTATATGCAAATTGTTTTCCATTGACAATCTGAAAAAAATTGCTGATGAACCCGAGCCTAAAACAGATGACATAAACTTATGGTGTTGATAATCCAGTACAATACTGTAAATGTATTTTCCCTTATGATTTTCTTTTTTTTTAAAATATATTTTTATTATTTCAGAGAGGAAGGGGGAGGTACAGAGGTAATTAGTAGTTAAGTTTTAGATGAGTCCGATAAAGACTTTTTACTGTGCAGTGGGTTGGTTTCCCTAATCCCCATGTTGTTCAAGAGTCAACTGTGTATTACAAAATAGTTTATATCAATAGCTTTTTGGAGAGTGTTTAACTCTGAGAAGGGAAGCAAAAGAATAGGATAGAACAGCACTGTGTTCAATAATTGACATAAGTACATAGATGTTATAAATTTGAACATATTTGTATTATTGAAATATCAATATCTACTTTTATATTAAGGTTTCTTACAAATATAAAATTCCCAAGCTAACTCGTCTTCAAGTTCTAACATAACACAAACCAAAGACACAACAATACACGCATTCAAATGTCACTTTTAAGTGACACACGGCAATCCACGGTCAGAATTTTATAGAGGTAGAACTTGAGGTCAGCTTTGTGTAACTTTAAGGAAAGGAGATACCAAAGTTGTTGAAAAAAGCAAAAGTCTACCAGTGAATGGCAGAGGCAGAACCTTGCAAGAAAGATTGCCTGATCTAAGTAAGGAGAAAAACATAAGCAAACAGAACTGGAGTTAGTGAGCAGAACACACAAGCCATGAGTCAGGAACCAATGCAATGAGACTAGAAAAATTGGTACAGAATATAAGGAAGTGACATTCCTTTTAACACTAACCACTAAATCGTCCTACTGTGGCTCTGTCCCCATGTTTCATTTTTCCCTTAAAATCTCCTAAGAAGGCTGCACCAACCAGGCTCCACATCAGGAACCCTATTTTCTCCTTTAAGATGCTGGACTGGAGTGTGTGTTTATTTTTGTTTTTGCCTCAGCACAGATTCAAAGGAATTTTATTAAAACAAAAAATAAATCCAGATTTGAATAAATCCAACAAATATTTAAAGAGCTCTCATGCTACCATTCCTAGCATACCAATCAAGATTTGTACATTCTAACTAAAAAAAATAGGAACTTCCTGGCCTTTGGCCTGCTTCCATTTGACAAGTCATAGTGTATCATCAACTTATGACCATTACAGCTCTTCCTCTGAACCTGAGAAAAGGGTTTCTCCCCGACATGAATATCAGAAAGACTGCTCACCCTCTGGTGAGACTTCATACCAATCTAAGAAACGTAGTTTCATCTTTAAAGGTCCTTAATTACAAAATGACCATACCATAAGGTAAGGTTACTTCCTGTAGGTAAAAATACTGTCACAAAAGGGGAGTGGGGAGAGAGGACAGGGTCAATACCTTTACAAACAAAGAGTCTGTCTTGAGGTTTTAGTCTTCTCTTCAGAGATGACTGCTTTAAATAACGGGAGTATGTAAATAAAGCATGTCATGTTATAATTACTATAATAATCACACTATATGACAAGTGCCTTTCTATGTGTATGTGTCCTATATGAGACTGAGTTTCCTGAGGGCAGTAATCCAGTCTATTAAATTTTTGTGTCCCCAGAACTTAATACAATGTCTGGCATATAGTAATCATTCAATACATGTTTATTGAATGAAAGGTGAACAAAGATATGACAAAAAAAATAAAAAGTAAAAATCTGACTGAATCAAAGAAAGTAAAAAAGACAATGCATTATGGCAAAGAAACATTAGACATCTCAAGTTAAATAATGACTTGCTTTCATCACTTAATCATTTCAAATTATAAGAGGATTTAAGTTATGAAAAATGCACTATATAATTTCCCTTCTATGATAAGGTTTTAAGATAATTTGGACTCCTGAATATTCCATTCCACTTTTTCTATCAATTCCATTCACTTGTCTAAAAGAAGCTACAGATGGACCTCAATTAAATTTGCTCCTTGACCTTTAAAAAGTATTTTGGATACTGACAATCACACTTGAATTAATAAATAAGTACTTAAGGTTTGGTTAATGGCAATGCCCATGAAATAATCTATACACAGCCGTATTTTTATGTCTGCACAGCAGTGCCTCTTACTACATTGGTAGTAAACTGTGAAAACAACTCAACCCACTTCTAGAAATTTTCAATTAGAAAACAGTGGGCTTCCAGAAAAGATTTCCCCTGAAGAAATTTTAAAATGTGAAAATCACTTGTCTTAGTCTAATTTGTCCATTCTATTTGATTTCACTAGGACACAATGAAAGTCTTCACACCAGCAATCTATACAAATAAAAGACTAAGTGTCCATCCAACCAGTAGCTATGATGCGCACTGACCACCATGGGGCAGATGGTCAATGCATGAGCTGCTATGATGCACAACTAGTCATTTAAAAATAAATGGTACTTTGGACCTGGCGCCGACAAACCAACACTCGGCTTCCCCCAAATGGGACACAGGCCCTGCCACCACCCCAGAAAGACACCCACCAAATTGTAACCAATGCTGCCAAGATACCATGGAACAAAATGCAGTCCACAACCCAGCCCAAAACAGTTGCTGTGGGTGCCAGGTAATGACATCACATAGTAAAGCCTGGCTTCCTCTCCCTAGAGACTAGCCTCCTTGCAGTTTCTTCAGCCAAGGAATACCACTTGCTTTATAGCCAGGTGGAAACATTTTACACTTATCCAAATGTTTGTGAAGTGTTTTCAAGTGCCTCATCTCATTTGATCCTCACAAAAGTCTTGGAGTAGAGAGAAAGGAGACTCGTAGAATCCTATTTTCTTTTCATTGGGTGGAAAACAGAGATTTAGAAAGTTCAGAAACTTGACCCGACTGAAAAGAAGAAATGGTGGAACTTGAAAATGACTTCAGATTTTTTCACTGTGCAGAATATGCCATATTTTCCGGCGTATAAGACGACCCCCCTAATTTTCAGTTAAAACATAAGTTTAGGCCTATATTCGCCTATTTTTTTTTGGGGGGGGGGTATACTCGGCGTATAAGACGACCCCCGATTTTCGGTTGACTTTTTTCGCTTCAAAAGTTGTCTTATACGCCGGGAAATATAGTAGTCAAACACTGCTGCAGTTAAATATTTTACACATAATAATCTGCTTCATGTTGATATTTACTGCTGTATTGCTTACAACTACCTGGAAGAGAAGTTGGGGTGATTTACTGGGCTGGAAGAAGTTTAGCTAACTCAGAAAGCAGGTCTAATTAAGCAAATTTATCCTATACCTATAAAAGGCTAAGTTGACTTGTGCATGCACGATACATAAAGCTTTTGTTGGTGCCAATCGCACATGTGTGTTTCGATCTGTCACTGTCAATCATGCATTTGGTTGACACTTCTATTACAGAGAAAGGGCGAATAGAGATATTAAAATATTTCTTCTAATTAATTTCCTTTCAATGTGCATGAATGTGTGCACCAGGACACTAGTAAACAATACTAGTCTCAGTGCATTCAAGGAAAACATCATTAGCAAAGGCTGCTTCCTAAACTTACGCCGGTCACGTGTATTAAACTATCAAGAAAAATAGTTGAATAAAATTATGGAAATACATACTTGAAAACTATTTAAGATCAAGATATAAAAACTTTTAGCTCTATGGGAATGGAAGTGACTTATAATGTACATTGTATTTGACTTCTGAACACACTTTTGGAATCACATAATACATCAAAACAGGGCACTTTTTATTCTCTTCACAGTAAAAAAAAAAAAATGTAACTATGAAACAGGTGGCTCAGGGCTGTAATGTGCAGTATCCGTGTGATTCTGGTAATTTTAAGCCACTCGTTTTTCATCCCACCATGTCCTAAAACTCTACCTGGGGTTCTGTTAACTACTACTACAAAAACCTCCCTTAGCCTATTAATTTTACTTTTATTCCAGTGCCCCAAGTAAAACATAAGTTCTCTTATCCCGTCCATCTTTGTCTCACTTCATGGTCACGGAGACAAAAGCGCTCCTACACCCCAATAAATAAATATTAGTTGTTCTGGGCGGTTTTGAAACCCTAGGGTTTTTCCTTTTCATACCCCATGACAACATTTCTCAGCACTTGTGCCAACCACGGACAGGGAGTAACACTTCCAAACGTTGTCAACAGATCCTCAAGCTCTGCTATCCGGGCTTGGGTGCCTGTGTGCAGAAGCGAGGTGAAACAGATTCTTCCTACGGAATGGGGGCAAGTCGAGGTCTCCAAGGTTGGGTTGCCCCAAACAGCGGGGTCTCCACGTTTGCACCGCCTCCTAGAAGGGCGAGGGGTGCTCAACTAGCTCTAGAGGGACAAGGAGTTTGCACCAACTGCTTATTGTCCCAGTCCCCAGCGAGTCCCAGGTTCTTCTTCCCCATTCCTGCGCCTGGCGAGGGGAAAGGCCTCGCTCGGGGTCCCCAACCTCACTCGGGTGGCAGGAGGCTCTCTGCAGCGATCAGGCGACGAGAGCCTCCGGGCAGCCGACGCCCCCTTCCTTCTCTCCCTGGGGTTTGGCTTCCCAGTCCCGGGAGTCGACACCGCCCACTTTCTACCGCGACTAAACAGCAGCCCCGGCCCGGAACCAGCTCTTACCCACGTCCTGCTCGAAGGGGTTGGCGGCGAACAGAGGCATCTCGCCCACACCCGCGCCCGGGTCCTCGGGGTCTGGCTGAGACGGGCAGCTGCTCGGGGCTAGAGGACCGGCGGCCGCAGCTTCCTAGACGGCTTCTCTCCGACCGGCACCGCCTACTTCCGCCGTCGCACCTGCCCGAATCCCGCCTGATCCGCCAGCTCCGGGTCCGCGCTCCGCCCCCCCGGTCCGCCCCTCGGACGAGGTTCCGCCCATTCATAGGCATCTTCTCAGCGGCCTGTGGCCGCTGCCCGCCAGGAGGAGGAGGCAGCCCTTGTCACATGCCCCCGTTGACATCAGGCGTTCTCCATGGACACCTTTCCATCGCTAGGACCCCGGCAAGCCACGGAGCTGGGGTCCTTCGAAGGCCGGAAGTTGTCGCGCCTACAACTGGGCGACGCCAGAGGCCCGAAGCTACTGTGCTGGGAGCGTCCGTTTAGGGGGCGCGGTTGTCCGGGGTTTTCTGCGTGAGGCTGCGGGTTCGAACGGCTGAGTAGTTGGTTCCTAAGCGGCAGTCTGACTCCTGCAGGCAGCCGGGGACCCGCAGTTGCGGGCGCGTCACAGTCCTGTTGCCCTGGAAACTGATGGAGCCTTGGCCTAGAGGCGGCTTTGCGAATGGACAAAGGGTTGGGGTCTTCTCTTGGAGGGCTGATGGAGTTGCACCCTCCTGGGACCTAAACCCACCGGAATAACCGCTCTGGGAATAACTTTGACTCCCGGGACTCCTGACTTTTACTACCATCGTAAGAAGGCGCTGGACTCTGAGTCGGGAGAGGAATGAGGCACACCCTCTGCCCTCAGGTTGCTGACAGGAACATATACATGACAATACATGGCAATCCTGATATACCGTAGCCCCCCCCCCCCTTCCCTTATCCGAGGGGGATGCAGTACTCCATCCCCCCATTGGATGCCTGAAACATTGGATATTACTGTTTTTTTCAATACATACATACGTAGGGTAAAATTTAAAGTATAAAGTAAACACAATAAGAAATTATTAACAATAACTAATGAGATTGAAGTTATACTTTAATCAAAGTTGTGTGAATGACTTTGGATCCATTACTAGTAAAATAAGGGTTACATGAACACAAGCACCGCAATAACACCAGTTGATCTAATTAAGAGGGGGCTGCTGACGTCCTAATGGAGGGTTACCCCATACAGCTTGGGAATGCTGGACAAAGGGATGACTCAAGCCCCAACCTGCTCCTGCTGGGATCTCATCATGCTTCGCAGAATGGCTTAATTTACTTATTTTCTGTTTCTCCTCTGGCAAATATAAATTCAGTGGTCAGTTTTGTTCATTGCTGTATCCCAGCATCTAAAACAGTGTCTGGCAAGCAATAGGTGCTCAATAATACATTCCAAATGTAGCCATGACCATCTAGCCAAACAGCATCTCTCTGACAATGTTAACTACTGATAAACTTTTGCCATTTATTAGAGTGTGGGCCCTACTAGAGTTTCCAATTTTAAAATGATTCTTAAGACCTAATAGTTACTTCAACATTTCAATAATGGGTCAAGCAAAACCATTTTACAACCTCTGGTACAAAGACTTGGCACGTAGAAGAGGAACTCCTTACACCTGGCAGAGATCAGGGAAGTGGTTGCATTTCATACTAAAAAGATAGGTGCACGTGAGAATCACTTGCAGGTGAAGGGAGCTGGTTTTAAAGGTAGCATTGAAGCTAGCATGTCAAAATATGTTTGGAGACTTTCTGGAGGGATTTGTCTAGGATTAATGCTAGTGTTGGAATGGAAAACAAGGCTAGATCAAGATAAAAAACAGATTGGGAAGAGCTTTAAGAGCAAGCTATTTTTAAACAAAAGTTTATCATTCAAGGCACTGGATAATCATTTAAAGATTTTGAGCAAGATCATTTTCTTAAAAAAAAAAAAAAAAGTTCTGAGATGATAATCTGGCATCGCTGTACATGATGTATACGAAGAAGCAGACCCAGGCAGGACAGTTTAGGAGGCTGTTGCTTCACATGAAAGCCATAGAAAACCTCATTCAGAGGAGCTTGTATTGAGATGAGAGCTGAGGATTAGTCTTTGGAAAACATTCCCATTTTAAAGAGTCCTTTTGCTCTGGTGTGCAAAGAAATGCAACTTGTACATTTTTCTGTTACACAATCTCTTGAGCCCCTGTCTCCCTGATAACAGAAAATGATCTTGTTAAATTCAGTCTCTTTGGGGTTTTCTTGGTTTGGGGTTTATACTCAACAAATCTGATACCTTTACCTCCGACCACTTTCCCCAAACACTTACCCCAAGATTTATTCATCCCCAGGTATGTTCTTTCAATTCTGCCAGTACATAGGAAACTTGACTCTAGTTATCTGTCTGGAAACATTGGAGGCAGTTGTGACAAACCTTGAGAAGAGAAAATGGCATCTTACTCAGGTGAGATTTCTGCATGGCCTTCAAGGAAAGGGAGGCCACTATCCTGTAATAAGGGCAAGTGCACCACGTCTGTTGGTGCAGAGGATTGAGGTACATCTATCAGCTCCAGGCTCACAAGAGGATCCACCCACATATCCCCATTCTAGATCTTGGTCTGATTCCCTTTCGAGCCCTGGACTTGAGGAGACACACCATGAGTTGTGAATTCAACCTTCTTTTAAATTCTGCTTCTCTCACAATCAGGTCTAGAGACTGATTTTTTTTTTTTTTTTTGATTTTTTTTTTACCACAATCAATGGCCTTCTGGCTACAGTAAGTAAAGGGCACTCGCTTCTCTTGCTCTTTCTTCTTTCTCTTTGTGTTTCAGTTTGGATAATTTCTCTCTCTCTTTAGGATGAGTAGTATGTTCCTTTTTATGAATTTCCAAAGCATTTGGTTTGAGTGCTTTTAATAATTTTTTTTAATTTTGGAATAATTTCATATTTACAAAAAGATAGTAAACAGGGTACACAGGAGGATAGTAGTTCTCCTTGACCCCTTGCCCTGTTTCTTCCATTAACATCCTACATTTCCATGGTACATTTGTCAAAACTAAGAAACAAACAAACTCTTCCTTGTTAACTAATTCCAGACTGTATTTGGATTATACCAATGCTTACATTAATGTCCTCTTTTTTGCCCAGGATCCAATCCAGATGTGTCAGGGGTCTCGCATGTTCATAATTTGCTAGGACTCACAGAACTCAGCATGTAGTCATCCTCAGGACTGTTATTTATTACAACAAAAGGAAACTAAACAAGATCATCAAAGGGAAATGGAACATGGGGTGAAACCTGGTGGCACAAGCTTCTAAGAGTCCTTTTTCAGTGGAGTCACATGGGACAGGCTTCATTCTCCCAGCAATGACTTGTGACAACACATGTGAATGTTGTCTACTAGGGACCTATTGCAGATTCGGTGCCCAAGGTTTTGTTGGAGGCTAATCACACAGGCACCCAATTTCCATTCTCTCAAAAGGAAATTAGGTGTTCAGCATGAACTACATTGTTTATATGAAGAGTGTAGGCACCGCGAGCCATTATTATCAGGGGGAATGGTGGGAAGTCTCTTCAAATCTAAGCTCCCAGGTGCCAATCAGGAGCCAACCTTAGAAGCAGGCCTTTCTAAGGATAGCAGTCTACATACAAAAGGACCACATTCCATTTAGTTGTCATCTCTCCCAAGTCACCTTTGGTTTGTTACAGTTTTATAGTCTCTCCTTGTTTTTCATGTCCTGGACAAACTTGAGAAATGCTGACTGGTTATCTTGCATACTGTCTCTGAATCTAGGTTTGTCTCATAGCTTTCTCATGGTTAGAGGTGTTTTGGGGGGTTTTAGAAAATAAAATAGGTGAAGTGTCCTCATAACATCACTGTAGGGGTATCTACATGCTATCTGGTGAGAATAACTTTCAGCACTTCGTAAATGTAGCATTTGCCAAGTTCCTCCGCTTTAAAGTTAATAATTTTCCCTTTCTCTATTCTACTATTAGGAAGCAGATCATTGAATCTAGCCCATCCTCAAAGGAATTAAACTTCACCTTTTATAGAAAGGAGTATCTAAATATATTATTGGAATTCTTCTGTAAGGAAAATTTGTCTCTTCTATTTACTTATTGAATTATATCAGTATGAGCGCATGTATATTTATTTTATACTTTGAACTGTAATCCAATAATATATTTGATGTTATCATGGTTGTCTTTACTCAAATTGTTCTAGCTTTGTTCACTGGGAATTCTTTCAGTTGACTTCTTCTATGTCCCTTTGATGTGTCCCTATCCTTTTTTTTCTTGGCACATTTTTACTTTCTTGTACTACAAGATGCTCCAGGCTCATCCTGTCTATTCTATGCCCCAATCTTGGACTCAACCATTTCTCAAAAGAACCCTGGTTCTGAAGGTCTCTCTAGTTTTCATGATGTGCCTTGAGTAAGTTGGCTAACCTGAGCTTGTCATTTTCTTCCTGCAGCACATTAATATTAATTAACAACAGCCAACCAGCTTCCCAATCCTTATCAGTCTTTATCGTTCTCAAGTACTAGAGCTATTATAAAAGCCAGTGCATGCCCTTTTACCTATACTCAACCCCAGTTTACCACAATCTTAGTAATCGTGATGCCACAGATTTAGTTCTCAAAATTTGGCATCCTTCACAAGTACTTCTCAGGCTTACCCGTCTGAAGTGACAGGAAGGCTAGTGAAAGGTGCAGCTGGGTATTTCCCTTCTCCCAAGTTGGTCAGGCTCTGATAATACCCTAGTCGGTTAGGTGCTAGTAAAATAGTTTCTCTGAGGTCAGGTCTCAATAGAGAACAGAATGCTCTGGGCTTACATCAACATGACTACTTTCCCCTGCCCCTTGCCAGAAGCACAAGGAGATTTTTCTCAGAACCTTCACTGTGAGAACCTGGTATGGCTCACAGAGGTTAAATTCACACAAATGAGGGACTTGCCTGTGACTAGGTGCCCCTGATTTTTTCCCTCTCAAGGGTTGTACACACTGAGCCTGGAGCAATTTGTCAATTACAGTTTAGGATTTCTTACCCCC